AATTTCCTGGTGCCTTCTAAATCAAAATCACACCCTTCTACGGACTCCACGTCATCTATTTTTGGATAGACGCAATGTTCCATAATTTTGATTAACGCTCTTCTTTCTCCTTCTTCAAAACTATCCGACGCATAGGTTGAACACTTTGGAGAAATGTTACCTTGATGTTTCAGCCATTTGAAACCGCCCCAATCCACCGTTTCCCTCCCCTGAAACCCATCATCCCCGTCTAATAAATCTCAGACCTTTATTCTAACCCATGGAGGGTGAAAATCGAGAGTTATAGAGAGTGAAGCCTGGTCACCCAATTTATTTTTCGGGGACCGCTCCCCGTTTTCTCCATTTAATCTCCATCGACCCTCTGAATCCTTTTTATTCAATCGATACCATCACCACGACTCATTTCCCAATTAATCATCGTTAGCGTCGTCATTCGACAAATCGATCTAAATGCTTAAGTTTCTTCTTCTCAATTTCAATCGTCGACACCAATATCTATGCTTAATTGATTTGAATTTCTGGTGACAGAGAACAACAAGCGTCAGTGGTGTCGATCAACGACTTTGAGTATATCGTTGAATCAATTTACAACGATGAAGACTTTCAAAGTCGCTCCTTCTGGTGCCTATGTTCGCTTCGGGTACGTATAATTACACATTAATATCTACATAACCCTAATTTGATTTTAATTTTAATTTCGACTTTTGTTATTGTTGTTTAGGATTAATCCAAGAGTTGGATGTTAAAACCCTAAATTATCCAATAGATATAAATTGTGAATACTAATGTAGAGAACTATGATTAAGAGGCTTACTGACTTTCTAAAGTTAGCACCAAGCAAGCATCCTTGGTTGCACTACCAGGAAAAGATTCCTACAAATAAGGGAACATAAACATGCTACTGTAACTCTGGTAATCTTTATCCTTTGCAAGTACTAATCAGACAAGTTTATGTTGAAAATTTTAAGCATTAATGTCATAATACATTTTTACTGATTTCACAGGCTTAAAGGAAGGTTGTTTGTTATCGTTGGTATGTTTCCCTTTCCTTTTCTCATTTGATCTAATTCTCATTAGTTTCATGAACTTTCTCTATTTGATTTTTACAAAATTCTGTACATGATACAATAGACGTAATTGGGACATATCGTGATGTCTGACGATAAAGACAAAAATTTATCTTTTTTTGAAAGTAATTCAGGCTTATCCCAACATATATGGTCCTTCACAGGATCTCACATATGGGAACCACAGACGATGCCACGTCATTATTTTGTATGTTTCCAGGTTACAAGTTGTCCATATCAGTAAAAGAAAATGTAAATTGGCTGCTATTGTGATTAGATAGTGAGTTAGGTTGCCTATATTTGTTAAAACAGGTAAATACGTTGCTATTTTTATTGGTTTCAGATTGCAAGTTGTCCATATTGGTAAAGAATGTGAGTTGGTTGCTGTTGTGGGTAGAAAATAAGTATGGTACCTATCTATATAAGTATAAACAGGTAAATGTGTTATAGTTTATGCCCTTTTCTTTTCAAAAATGATCAATTTTGGAAACTATTTGTATTTATATTTATATTTCCACAATTATGAAAAACCACCCATTCTTGTAAATTATATGATTTCCACGTTTCAAAAACTGATAGATGTATCTTAATGTCAAAAAAATACGAAGCTTCTAGATGTCGGTAGAAGATAGGAATTTCTTGCTCAAGTTTGGTTATTAAGTAAGTTAATCTTTTTCTTGATTATTCACTTAATAATTACTGTTTCATTCTTTCTTTCACATGTAACTGATTTACAGAAGGTGTTTAGTATAGAGGGTCATGTTAATTGGACTCGATGCAACTTATAATACTTTTGGTTTTTTAAGAAAAATATTCTTTCCCATGAAACTCAATATTGTTATATTCAAAGCAAGATGATATATTATGCATGTATTTTGTTATAAAAAGGCAAAAATAATGTCAAACGCAATAATGCTCTTAAACAATCATTTGAGAAAAAGTTGGCATTACATACCTTATAAAACACCATAAAATATATGTATATTGTTAGCTCTAATATACTTTAAGGTATTTTATAAGTTCTTTAATGCCAAAGTTTTCTCATATGGTTTTTACACAACATATTTGTGTTAATGTAATGAAAAGAATGGTTTGTGTTTGCTTTTCTATAGCAAAATGCATGCAAAGTTTGCAATGAATAAACTTTGTATTATAGCGTGTATATCTCTAAATTGAGCAAAACATATTTTCCTATTTAATTCTTTTTCTCATGGTTCTTAATAGGCGAAGATTCTCAAGTTAACAAACCTACAGTTCATCTTTTCTGCTCGCTCGGATGGCTGGTGATGATTCAAGCAATATATTGTAGCATTGTACTTTAACCTTTTTCGTTATTAGCATAACATACTTTAGACACCTGAAAAAAATACACAGATTACCTTTTTTGGGGTCGTGCTTAGCACATACCTCAAACTTTTCTAGTATATATATATATATATATATATATATATATATATATATATATATATATATATA